TGGGATCTTACCTATCAACTCCCTGAGTCTGTTAAAGTCTGCCTTCTTGAAATCCATTGTCTTTATTCTGCTGTTTTCCCTCCTACAATTCCTTAGATTCATGAACTCTACCATTTCAATTTCACTTTCACCCAAGCTGCCTTCCACTTCCAAATTCTCAACCAGTTCCTCCCTATTTGTCAAAATCAAGCCTAGAACAGGCTCTCCCCTAGTAGCTTTCTCCACCTTCTGGAACAAAAAACTGTCATCCTGACCCTCCTTGCAGCTCATTTGCCCAAACTCTACAAAGGGTCTGAGTTAATGCTGGGTGTTTGACTGGCACGCCCCCCAGTCAATCAGGTTTGTGCAGAGTAGCAGGAAGGAAGCAGGAAGGGGCTCTCTCGCCAGCTCCACGGGTGTGCAAGGTGTGCATCCTGGTTCCCAGGGAGATTTGGGCTCTGTAGCAGACACCAGCTAACACCCCCTCGGGTGCTTTATCTGCCAAGACACTGAGCCATGAGAACTCGGAATAAAATATTCTCGAATGATCAGTGAGTCGGAAGCAGGCAAGGCCATTTCTGACAGTGCCCCTCCCCTTCCCATTTGTCCACCTGATCCTTCCTAAATAGGTCTTAACTATCAATTTTGACACTCCAACCGTGCGAACCACCCACCAGATTTCAGCAATACTAACTAGCTGGAATTTATGCTCCTTGCTGAGCGATTCCAATTCCCCTTTGGCTCTCCGGCTCCCAACGCTCGTGTCCAGGGAAGTGAAGAACTTTCTCTCTCCGTGTCCTTTGATTTCTCGATTAATTTTGTTCTCAGCGTCTCGATTTTGTGCTGTCCGAGTGCTCAGATCTTCCCTCTTTTTACCCTCCCCTTGTGCTATTAGTTTAACCCCCAACTTTAGCCAGCCTGAACCCGAGCCAGTCAGCCAAGACTGTATTTTGCAGCACAGATGTAAGCTTGTGAGACCCAAGAACCTCTGGATGCCAACTGGGGCATATAGAGGTACAGCGATCCCCTGGGTTCACCAAAAGAATGTCAAGAAAAGTCTCTAATGAAAGCCTCTGTCACACTGGTCAACATAATCATTGTGAGATGTGGGCATGGAGAATGTGTGGGGAGTTATGTATATACACTAAAATTATGGTCTCTAGGTCTGTAGTTTAAAACAGGTCACTCAAAGGTAACGTGTCTTGAGACATCTTCTCCAGTCAGGGGGTGGTAGACACTTATCTCCAGGGTGCACAACTGTGTATTGTATGTCATGCAATAGGAATCTATTAACGTTCTTAGTCAAATCTTAATGAAGAGCTGGTGGAGACTTCAGAAGAACAACAACAGAACAAGGCAAACAGCAGAGGAAGCTTGTCTTGAGGTGCACATCAAAGGTTTGTTCTGGTATATTTGGGGTGCAAAGAGACACGCTGGCATCCTTCACCTAGGAAGTTAACTGACAGTGAGTTCGCTTGATGGAAAAGGGATCTCAGCCAGGCTTGGTGGAAAATACTGGTGAGAACTTTGGGTGAGATACGCTTCTTTTAGACAGGAGGGTAACTTGTTAGTTAATGTTAGGCTTTAGAATGCATGTTATGATGTTTTATTTGAATCTCTACTCTTTCTTAAATACCTCTCTTTTGGCTTTATATAGGAACTCAAGTATTATGCATTACACAGGACAGGAGCAGGGGTCTAAGGTGAAGCCATTAAACTGGGATGCACAGTTCCTTTGGGAGCTGGGATTTCTGTGGGTACCCAGTGATGGGGGCTGGGCATCACAGGGGAACGCTTTGAAGGGGGTTGGGGTGCAGCTGCTGTCAACCTGCAGAGCGAAGACAGGGCAGGTGCAGCCCAGAGGAGCATGCTGGAGAGACTGACAGGCCGTTGTGCTATGGAGCTGACACCCAGCTAGTACAGGCAAGACGCCCTCGCTCTGGAGGCAGGTGGCAACAAGGTGACTCACAGCCCTGGGTGCCCTGGGAAGCGTCACAGCCTGTGGCCGGAAAGAGGCAGCTCAAAGCAATGCCCTAACCTGCCCAATGCTGGTATGAGTTTGCCACGTGTGGGAGTGGCTGATAAGACCATGTGCTATGCCAGTGTTTTTCTGGTAGACGTTACAAATGCAAATCAACACCAGAGACATAAGCTGCATGTTCTATTGAATCATAGAATACCAAGGTTAGAAGGGACCTCAGGAGGTATCTAGTCCAACCCCCTGCTCAAAGCAGGACCAATCCCCAGACAGATTTTTGCCCCAGATCCCTACATGGCCCCTTCAAGGGATTGAACTCGCACCCCTGGGTTTAGCAGGCCAATGCTCAAACCACTGAGCTATCCCTCCCTCCATCTTTGCTGTACTTCTCTCTCCCCTTTTGCGTGTGTTTATCTCGTTTTCTCTTCTAGGAAACAGGATCAGACTTTAAGAGCAGCAACTACAGCCCCAGCCCATTTCCTAACCGGCCGTATTTTCCACAAGACGGATGGTTAGCAGCATCCAGGAGACTGTCACACAAGGATTTTGTTTTTATTTGATCTTTTTCCTTTGAAAGCATTGGCTCGCAAACTTTTTTACTGGTGACCCTTTTCACAGAGCAAGTCTCTGAGTGTGACCCCACCCCCATATAAATTAAAAACACTTTTTAATATATTTAACACCATTATAAATGCTGGAGGCAAAGCGGGGTTTGGGGTGGAGGTTGACAGCTCGTGACCCCCCCATGTAATAACCTCACGACTCCCTGAGGGGTCCCGACCCCCAGTATTAAAGACTCTTTACAGCTAAGAGGGAAGGAAGTGCGGGGTGTTGTTAAAATGAAAGCCTTACTTAATATTTTACATTTCAAAATTTTAACCCTGCTTTTCTGTGTCTTTGCTAAAAGGTTCAAAGGATGTTTCATGGTGTGTTTGCACCATGGTACTGAGCCGGCTGAAGGCTTTGTTTACCAAACCTTCTTTGACACTGTTTAATGTCGGACAGTGACAGGGTCTTATTAACACTCTTGATTCTTTGGGCCCCCTTTGTTCCACCTAAATTAATACAACCCATCTTACCACTGGCTCTCCTGCAGGCAGCTGTGGGAGTGGTAGAAACGGATGCACTATTCAGAAAGAACCAGCTCTAAATCAGGTTTCAGAGTAGCAGCCGTGTTAGTCTGTATCCGCAAAAAGAAGAACAGGAGTACTTGTGGCACCTTAGAGACTAACAAATTTATTAGAGCATAAGCTTTCGTGGGCTACAACCCACTTCTTCGGATGCATATAGAATGGAACATATATTGAGGAGATATATATACACACATACAGAGAGCATAAACAGGTGGGAGTTGTCTTACCAACTCTGAGAGGCCAATTAATTAAGAGAAAAAAAAACCTTTGAAGTGATAATCAAGATAGCCCAGTACAGACAGTTTGATAAGAAGTGTGAGCATACTTACAAGGGGAGATAGATTCAATGTTTGTAATGGCTCAGCCATTCCCAGTCCTTATTCAAACCGGAGTTGATTGTGTCTAGTTTGCATATCAATTCAAGCTCAGCAGTCTCTCGTTGGAGTCTGTTTTGTAAGTTTTCTGTTGTAATATAGCCACCCGCAGGTCTGTCACTGAATGACCAGACAGGTTAAAGTCTGGTCATTCAGTGACAGACCTG